TGTGTATGAAGTGCTAGAGCAAAGCCTGGATACACAAAAAGCGCTGAATAATTAGTTTTGTAAATTTGAAACAAAGCTATCTAGTGTTTAATTAACTGAGACTTCATTAGTGAGGGATAAATTTTAACGTGTCCAGAGGAAATTTCAGATTTGTATTTGAAGGAGGAAAGAAAAAACGTGTACAAAGAAATGAACTATATACTTCTTCCCCTCTACCACATTAATATTGTACAAGGAACTATAGCCCAATAAGGATATAAAGGTTGTCAATGTGAAAGGAGTCTTTGAAAATATCTCTATTAGTATGTGACAAAAGGTAAGAGAACACTGAGGATAAGAAACGGCCAAAAAATAATAATAATTCATAAATAAAAAGACAGCAAAGAATGACATCTACATGAAATTAGTAACTAGACGTAGACTAAATTCTAAGAACTGTGCTTTAAGAGGCAATAGTAAGCAATTGGACATCCCCTTACAGCAGGGTCGTGGGGAGGAGACAGGCCAGTCAGGGTTCAGTAAAGCACAGATGAAACATACAGCTTTCCTCTGGTTCTTTAATGCTTCCTCCCCACCATTATCATGACTCTAACTCTACCTTACAAATCTGGCTAGACCAGAGCATGTACATAGGTACAGATAAGAGCAGGAAAGACAGAACAGATAAACTCCTCTGGACCAATATTGAGTAGCCATACCAGTACGGGAAAGTGGGGTGGGGAAGGGGGACCAATCACAACGACCTACCTATAACCCCCTCCCAGGGGGAGGACAACAGACAAGGGGATAAAAGGAGACATCAGACAGTGCAAGACATGAAAACATAATTTATAAATTATCAAGGGTTCGTGAGGGAGGGAGGGACGGAGGGGGAGGGAGGGGGAAAAATGAGGAGCTGATACCAAGGGCTCAAGTAGAAAGAAAATGCTTTGAAAATGATGATGGCAACATATGTACAGGTGTGCTTGACACAATGTATGTATGTATGTATGGTGATGAGTTGTATGAGCCCCCAATAAAATTATTTATCTTAAAAAAAGAGGCTATAGAATAAAAAGACAATTTTAAGTATGAGATATATTAATTTAGTAGAAGAGAGTGACTTAGACATGGTTGCAATGGGAAGATGGGGGTATTCATTTCCTCTCAAAAGCGACCTGGAAAAGGAAAACTCACTCAAGAAGAAAAGGCAAGATGAACTGACAGCAGAACTGGAAGCCTACACTTTAATCCAAAGGATTAGATTGTAAAAGTGTCAATCTGAAGATATTAGGAATGCACACCTTTATGGGCTAAGATGAACAACACTCTTTTGGAAATGAAATAGAGGGCAGAATGTACTAAGGAATTCAAGCAACATATAATAAGAAGCTTTTTATTTCCCCCCTAATGTACTACTTTTGGGTCCTAAACAATCTGCAAATGACCAATTAGGAAGTGATGGAAATAAAGACAAAATGCAATCAGACCTGATTGTATTTCACGATAGTTACAGTAACACCTATCATAGTCAGCAAAGCCCCTGTTGGTATATTCTAATCTTTTGCCTGCTTACATAGGAGAACAAGCATGCATGTATCCCTGAGTGAAAAGTGCAGAGAGACCATCACTCTAGAACGCTCCATCAACCTTGATAAAACTTGCATCTCTCCTTCACCGGGTTGGATACATAGAGATCTTCCAAAATCCTCCAGCTCCTTCCTCATTTTCCTGCACATTTCTCCCAGTTCTCTCTCTTCCACACTTGAGCTCATCATGCTATTTATTTCTCAGAGGTCACAGACACATTTACTTATTAATGCCAACCTACATAGGAAACATGAAACAAAGAGTTCATAACCTCTTACCATTACTACCCTTATTACAGAGAAGAAACCTAATGGTCTGGAGAAAAACATGATGAAGAGAAGGAAGTGCTTCAATTGCTGGAGGTAAAGGCTAAGACAGAGAAGCTCTCTACCTTCTCTCCATACCACAGAGAAAGCAGAAGGAAATGCCTCTCAGCAAACTCAAGGGTAATCAGTAAGTTCCTTTTTAATGCTGGACTGGTGCAGGGTGGGAAAGACAGATGGCTCTCTAGCTTTCTGATACTTTCAGCAGGAAAGAGATTCATTTTGGTGGTGGTACCCAGGACAGAGTGGTATGTTAATGGTTGGAATCAAATGCACCGATCAAGAGGGAGATCATAAAGCTTACTAAGCTTCTATTATGTGCTTTTACTTGCAATATCTTATTTAATCTCCAAATTAGCCCATAAAGAAAGTATTATTAGTATTATACCCTACATTCCTGGGTTTTCTTCTGCCACAATAGCTTCTTTTTCTCAATCCCCTTTTCTGGCTAGGTTCTTATCCTTCATCAAACCTTAATAAGCATACTCTAGATTTCAGTCCTGAGACTGATTCTCTTCCTGTACTGTTTAAAGTGTCTTTAGGAAATCCTATTTAGTCCCAAGTTTTGAAAGCCATTCACATTCTGATGGTAATTCTCAAAATCTCTAGTTCCGGCCCATTCATTTCATTCTAGACTCCAATGAGGGGGCTTCAAAACTGTGGAAAACAAGTTGAAGCCCCCTTATACATGAAACTCTCTACTTCACATCTCCATTTGATATTATAGCAGATGCTGTCAGTAGCCATTCCCATCCCCTCCCATCCCCCTGGATTAAGCCCTCTAAAAGCCTTCCATATCAATCACCACTACCACCCCCATGTCCCTATACAATCTAGTTACTACTCACTTTCCCAATCTTCTCTCCTAACACTCATCCCCTTACTCATTAAGCTGGTATCACACAATAAGCTTTCAGTTCCCCAAAAATACTTGAAACGTGTTTACTTTAGGCTTTTGCATTTGTCTGTCTTCTTTTTGTGCCTCTTTTAAGTGACTAGGAGCCCTGGTGATGGAGTGTGGTAGGTACTGGGCTGCTAATCACAAAGTCAGCAGTTTGAAGGACAAGGCTTTCTACTCCTGTAAAGATTCATAATCTTAGAAACCCACAGGGGCAGTTCTACTCTGTCCCCTACAGGGTTGCCTATGAGTCGAAATGAACTTGATGGCAGCAAGTTGGTTTTTTAATGACTGAATTGTTTACTCTGGGCCATAAGAATATGAATTGTCCTAAGCCTCTATAGCCACACCCAAGATGTTGTAAGAACTCAACTATTTGCTGGTGAAAGTGTTAAAGATACAGTATGAAACTCAAATTTGTATCAGTTGTGCCAAGGCACTGGAGGCTTTCTATCCCAGTAAACATGCGCCCACTGTGTTTGCAGCTATGGTCTGCTTATGTGCAGAGTATTAGATTACTCCACCACTAGAGAGAGAGAGGCAAATTCAACCGAAGGACCTTTCTGTAACATAGGGGAAATGTAAAATAAGTGAATTATGAAGATAAGGGGTACTGGGGCTAGAACAATATCATAAATAGCACTTCAGAGAAGGTAATACAACAAATTCTGGAAGCCGCTGTTTCTGGGTGTTACCTTCACAAGAGTGGAAAAGAAATAAGTTTTTGTGTGAAAGAAAACAGGCTTTATCTCAAAAATATTAAGAAAGATGAATCCCTAGGCTGTCTAAAAGTAAAGAAGTATAAGGGGGCTTCAAAAAACTTCATGGAAAATTTAATTTCAAAGATAATGTGATATCTCCATGAACTTTTGGAAGGCCTTCAACTCTGTTCTTCCTGGTTCAGTCATGGCCAAAGAAGAGTAACTTTGAATCTGCAAAATGTGGGTAAATAAGGATAACCTCATCAGGAAAAATTATGGGTCAACGTGCTGGGACCTTACGTTCCCTTTTAGAAAATAGAAGCAGTGTATGCACTGCTTAACATGCAAATCTCTTGACTGGTGGAGTCAGAAACAATGGTGCCTTGCTCAGTTAGAGGCATGAGTGTTGTTCTCCACTGTCTGGATAATAAGCCGATCTCCTACATCAGGTTCCTGAAGGGCTGATTATGCCTCCTGTGAGTATCCTGTTCCAGAGCTTCAATCTACAGTTTCCCCTATTCTGGTGATCCCTCTGTTTCACTCAAATTTTTAAAATTTGGGTCTATTCCAGTTTCACATCATCAGTCGTGACTGAAGAAATTCGAAGCCCTGTATGTATGGTTGTACACTGAACAAAGAAGGCTGAAGAAGAATTGATGGATTTGAATTGTGATGTTGGCAAAGAATATTTAAAGTACCATGGACTGCTAAAAAACAAACCGATCTGTCTTGGAAGAAGTGTGACCAGAGTGCTCCTTAGTGGTAAGGAGGGCAAGACTTCATCATACATACTTTGGGCATGTTGTCAGTGGACACCCAACCCTGAAGAAAGACATCACGTTTGGTAAAGCAGAGGGGCGGGGGGAGGAAGGTGGATGGTGCAGGGCTGGGCAGTGTTTCGTTCTGTTGTGCATATGGTCGCTGTGGGTCAAACCTAACTCGATGGCACCACCAACAACAACAACATGTAGGGAAGAAAAGAAAATGGTAAGAGTAAGAAATCCTGTAACTGAAACAATTCTGACTCACAGTAACCCTGTCGGACAGGGTAGAACTGACCATTAGTTTTCAATGAAGTTCACATTTTCCTTCTACAGAACGCCTAGTGAGTTGAACCTACCCTTCAGTTAGCAGCTGAGTGCTTAACCACTGTGCCACCCGGGCTCCTTGGAAGAAGAAAAGGTAGAAATAAAGCAGAATGATTTCTATTTACTTAGATAAAAAATGGAATTAAAATAACAGAAGAACTATACCACTGCCACCTTTAATCCCACTCTACATCAAATGCCAGGTTAAGATACCAGTAAAAGGGTAAACTGATATGATCACTGTAACTAATGTAAAAAACATGAATACTTACTGCACTTCAGAAAGTGTTTATTGAAAAATGATAGCGGGCTTGGGGAAAAAATCACATTCAATCTCCAAACTGACTGCAAATCAAACCCAGTGTTAACACCAAGTGAAAAAATCATCCCTTATCCATGTAGATCCAAGTACCACACTTACCGATCTTCTAAAACTTTAATGGTTTCATGAAGGACCTTTTGTTGCTCTCGCAGTTGTTGGTTTTTGGTGAAAAATTCTTCTAGTCTCTGTGCATCTCTAAGAGTGAAGAAATGAATGTAATTTTTTTGGAGAAAAACAATGTAGGATAATTCTGCTATAAGAACTCCGAAGTATGATTTCAACACATCTTATATAAAATAAATTGCTTATATAACTTGTTCATCAGACTTCCAAATGTACTAGAATTTGCTCTGCAGCATAAGCAGCCCTGGTGGTCCTGTCTGGTAAGCACTGGACTGATAACTGTACAGTCAGCGGTTGAAACACACCACTGCTCTAATGAAAAAAGATGAGGCTAGAAGCTCCTATAAAGACGTACAGTCTCAGCAACCCCATGACTGGCCGCTATGAGTTGAAACTGGCTCCATGGCAGGAGGTTTTTGCTTTTTTTTTTTTTTTTCCCCTGTATTGAGAAGTATAGAAGTTCAGTAGTCAAATCATTTAATGGCTAACTGAAAAGCAGTTTAAACCCACCAGTTGTTCTGAAGGAAAAAGTATTGGCAGTGGGCTTCAGTAAAGATTTACAACCTTAGAAACTCCTGCGGCAGTTCCACTCTGCCCAGCAGGTCTCCACGGGTAAGAATCGACTCAGCAGTCGTGGGTTTTGCGTACAGAGGAAGTATTATCCTGAACCCTATTACCCAATGCTGGGACACAGATGCAGCATCTGGGGATTCTGACAGGAAATGCAATGTAAGGAATCAGGAGAGACCAATCCCTGAAAAGGGGCATCATACTTGGGAAAAGAAAAGAAGGAAGACCCTTGACAAGGTGGATTGGCAGACACTGTGTCTGCACAATGAGCTCAAACATAAGAACCACTGTGCGCAGGGCAGTTTGCTCTGCCGTGCCCAGGCTGTTTGGCTTGATGGCACCTAACAACAACCATGCCAGAGTGATATAACAGCCTCCTGCTACACAACAAGCATAGTTACAGGAGAATATGAAACAGCTGGAATTCTGGACACTACCGAAGAAACCCACTGCCTAAGAGTCAATCCTGTAATATAAATGAGTGCGTAAAAGGAAAGCCATGAAAATATTAGGAGGCCACTTGACTATTTACTAAAATCAGGTCTGAAACAAACATGTGAATAGACAAGTGCTAAGGGGGAGAAGGTGGGGCTTTGAAACGCTTGAGGAAAAATAAAATTTTGAAACTTCCAAGAACTTTCTGAAGCTCCCTCTTATATTCTTTTCTATCTGCTGCTTCTTCCCGGTTGGATTCCCTACGCACTGGGATATCTTATAAACACAACTATACTAATGATTTAGAGATAAGATGTCTTGACCGTTACTGTGCTGTACATGTAAACTGTAAAATAGATAGGAGGGAGGGTAATGGTAAAACAGGAGATTCCTAGCTCCTAATTCCACAATGCAAAGGCCCAGGTTACTCTGGAGAGAGTAAATAAAGCACCATTTTAATTCTCTGATCACTCAGGAAATTCAGTTACTTAAGAGTAATTAAAATATATATTAAAAAGGGGAAAAAAAGAGGAGCTGATCCCCAGGGCTCAATGGAAAGTAAATGTCTAGAAAAGAATGATGAGATATATGTACCAATATGTAGGATACAATTGATATATTAGGTTTGTAACAAGAGTTTTAAGAGCCCCAACAAAATGATTAAAAAAAAAAGCTGTTACAGAGTATCAAATGAGTGTAAATGATACAATGAAACACGGCATTATTATCAGCTACTAAATAACCAGGTGTTCTTCTAGACTTGCTTTTAATTTTCTTTAATATTCAGAGATGATTTGGGTTATCTTTGAGGAAACATTAAGTAACATCAACTACATGATGTCCCAAGGTTACCAATGAGACCAATTCCCAATTGTCTTGAAGCTAAGTCAGTTCAGGTACCTGCAGTTCTAAATTAGCTTTATTTTCATTTAATTAAAAGTTTGAGGCCTTTCCAATAATTAAAAAGTTGCATGTGCAATTAGTGAAAGTGATTGTGATAAAAAGTTGTAGGGGTTGGTTCAATTATTTTAAAGTGACAGAAAATTTACATAAACATTAAAAGGCCAGTATGAATTATTGGATGTTAAGTTGGAGATTCATAACCCATATATAAAAAGGTACTTTAAAAAATCAGAAGTCTCAATTTATAAAAGTACACTTAAACAAACCTATATAATTTCTAATTATATATTATCATTTAATCGATGAGAAATATAGGAAATTATTCTGAAGCCAAGACAAAGTTACTTTGTCATTATAAATCTATCATTTAAAATAGAATTACTATTTTAGAAAACAAAGCTATTACTAGGCCTGCTTGAAGGATTCATAGCTTAAAATGTATAATCGAATAAACACAATGAGTTAAGGGGTTTGAAAAAGGTTCCTTAAAGCAATCAATATTTTAGCTCTACAGGAGTCACTACAAGACCTTCACCTTCAACACTGAATGAAGGTACAATAAAAAGAGTTAACTGTATACTGTAACTAAGAATCAACTCTGAAACATTAAACCTTTGATATCAGAAACAGGGGGAACAAAAATCCTATATAGGGTTATTATACAAAAAAAGATTTTTGTAGAACATCTCCAATAAATAGTAGTATAATTATCTAGTTGGTATGATTTAGAGCACCACATTAAATCACTGACAGTACTCGTCTTCTAATTAACACTGTAGCAACCATCCAGGAGATTTGGTGGTACAGTGGCTAAGCACTCTGGCTGCTAAGCAACAGGCTCCTGTTATGATCCTGCCAATTGCTCTGCAGAAGCAAGATGTAGCCTCCATCCAGAAAAGTTTAGTCTTCAAAACCATACGGGGCAGAACAGCCTTGTCTCATAGGGTTGCTATGAGTCAGAATCAACTTGATGGCAATGGATTTTGTTTTGTTTCTTTGTTTTAAATATAGCAACCATAGCTAACTATCTGGGTTATATACAAAAATAAAGATAAAATAAAACAGAATGTTTATTTTGTAATTTTAAACCTCAAACCACTCCCATAAAACACTGCCACCACTAAGAAAATGCATCTTTCTTACTAAGTAAATATTTCCTCTTTTTTTATTTCAGGTCAATAGAAAAGGAAGAATTTTATTTATTAACCAATAAAATGGTTCTATTTTCCTCACTGAGCTGATGCAATTTCATTATACTTATTTTTGGATAAATTTTTACTTGAGGGAGAATATACAAAAAGAGTTTTCTACTGGAATCATTCAGGAACACAGGGTAACAGTGGCAATGATTTAAAGTGCCTGAAAAGCTCGGAAAATCTCTGGACTCTCTATTTCCCAAAGAAAGAAAAGGCTATCTGAAGTCTGTTCAGTGTCATAAAAAAAAGTCATGCTCCAGGAACGGCACTGGCTTTCTAAGCCGCAAACTAGTCTAGCTGTACGAGACATTTTTGGTTGCCTGCCATACACATCTATCTATACATTAAAAACCTCAAGTTAATACTAATAACTCTCACTCCTATCCAACAGCATAGTGCTCATTCTAGACTTCCCTCTTCTCCTTATTTGTACTTTTCCAGAAAGCAAGAAACCTGCCATTTCTACAATATAGTTATTTGCTCAATCTCAGAATAGACATAGAGCAGTTTCAGAGTGTTTGTCCATTACTGTTTAGGAATGAGCACACAGCAATTACGGTTAGTGAGTCTGGGGGAAGATGACTGGGGACTTCTGGTAAACATATATACATTCATAAAATGGGACATAAGGAAAGAGATCTATCCTCTTTTCTGCCTTCTGTACTTAAGGGCTAGAAGAAAGGTGGTCCCTTGCTATTCTATAGTTATTCTGCAGTGTGCTAAGACCAAGAGGGCATGCCAGGACACTAAGGATGACGGGGGTAGGGGGGAGATGAAAATAGACTGGCTCAGTCAGGGTGCAGTATAGCAACAACAAACCATACAACTTTCCTCTAGTTCCTAAATGCTTCCTCCCCACCCACTATCATCCCAGTTCTACCTTACAAATCTGGCTAGACCAGAGGATGTACACTGGTACAGATAGGAACTGGAAACACAGGGAATCCAGGACAGATGACCCCTTCAGGACCAGTGGTGAGACTGGCGATACAGGGAGGGTGTAGGGAGGGTGGGGTAGAAAGGGGGAACTGATTATAACGATCTACATATAACCTCCTCCCTGGGGGAAAGACAACAGAAAAGTGGGTGAAGGGAGATGACGGACAGTGTAAGATATGGCAAAATAATAATTTATAAATTATCAAGGGTTCATGAGGGAGCGGGGAGCAGAGAGGGAGGGAGGGAGGGAAATGAGGAGCTGATGCCACGGGCTTACGTGGAGAGCAACTGTTTTGAGAATGATGAGGGTAACAAATGTACAAATGTGCTTTATACAATTGAAGTATATATGGATTGTGATAAGAGTTGCATGAGCCCTCAATAAAATGATTACAAAAAATAGACTGCCTCTTTAATGTTGCTGCCAACTTACTGAATTAGCCAGTCCAATGGTTCAAGCTTTATGCTGCTAACTGAAAGGTTAATGGTTCAAATCCAACAGTTGCTCTAAAGGAGAAAAGACCTATTAACTTTTATAAAGATTCCTGCTGAGAAAACCCCATGGGCATTCCACTCTGCAATGAGTAGAAATGACCTATTTTCCTTACTGATTTTTTTGTTTTCCACAGAAGGTATTTCCACTATTAAGAAACACATCCTGAAAATACTAAGTCACTTAATACATTTCCTCTAGAAGAAACATCTTTCAAATGTGGGAATTAAACAAGGCTGTTATCTGAGATAGAGACATGAGTTATTTTACCATTAAGGATGTTTAATATGCTATCTTTAAGGTAGAAATATATATACTTTTGTACTGCAAAGCATTTTAAAATGTTCATAATTAAGAAATTTAACGATTTTAAACAAAATTGTTCTTAAAATCACTTTCTATTTCTGAATCTGAATCCATTTCCAAACATGACTTTCCAGATGAGAAGAAAACTTCCCAATTTCTGTACAATAATGGAGAAAACAACTGGATATGCTCTGATGTGGATCAGTAACTAGCTTTCTGTTACACTTTGAAAAGCTGTATACACATGCAGTCACTGAGGCTCCTGGGTATGTGTGATAGAGCAGACTCAGTTTTCACTAGTCACAAAGACGTGGTTTTTGCCATGCTACCTCACCTTGACTTTGAAATGTGATTCACATTTCAGAGTAGGGAAGCTCAAAAGATCATGAGTAAAATCGGCCCCTAACTTAGAAAATCAGACTCCATTGTGGACTTAATAATCAAAATAACTTAGGGAGTTCTCTCATTCAATTATTACTTCTTAAAGGAATTTAGAAGTCCCACCTTGTAGCATCGTGAATCTAGTTGTTACCCTTAAATGAGATATGAATGATGTTGACAGATGGATCAAAGGAGATTTTTAAAAATCATTTTATTAGGGCTCTAACAGCCCCCGCCCCCTTTTTAATCACTTTATTGGGGTCTCGTACAACTCTTATTACAATCCATACATACATCCATTGTGTCAAGCACATTTATACATTTATTGCCCTCATTATCCTCAAAACATTTGCTTTCTACTTGAGCCCTTGGTATGAGCTCATTTTCCCCCCCTTCCTCCCCACATCCCCTCCCTTCATGAACCCTTGATTATTTATAAATTATTACTTTGTCATGTCTTACACTGTCCGACGTCTCCCTTCACCCACTTTTCTGCTGTCTGTCCCCATTTACTTTATGAAAAAATGTTATATGTAAATACATAATTTATACCAAATATACACATATATGTGCATATTAACTAAGAATATACCTACAATTACAGTTATACATTTTACTTTAGAATTTTTGAAGACTCACTGGCAATTACACAAGACCTATACATAGTAAAGCTAATTTCCTTATAAAATAAGACACTGAGGTTTAATATGACCCCAATGTCAACTACCTTATAAATAGGACAACAGTATTATATATTGATACTTACAAAATTCGTTCCTTTTTCAGTTTGGTAACTTTTACTTGTAAACCTGAAAATTAAAAGGAAAAAAAATCACCACATTTTTATACATTTGACTATTTTAAAAGTAGTGGGCTTAGGTTCTTTTGTGGATCTAATACTACACCATTAGGTCACTTTGGTCTACCTGTGATTAAAGAACCAGTATCTATCACACCACCGAATACAGTTTCACCATCTACTTCCTAAAAATTAGCCATTGCAAACTCTAGTCATACAGGGCTATTCTGATGGAGAAGGGTCACCATGAGTTGGGACTGATTTCAACTACTAGTAAGGGTTACAAAAGGTTTACATTTTCTATGCCAACCTTTTATTTCTTGGAGTTTATCTGAAGAATAAAATTCAAAGTATAAAAAGCCCATAGTAGGAATACAAAATCTTACAATAGGGATATGTTTAAGTAAAATATGATAGATTTGATAAAATCATCCAGTTATTCAAGCCTTTTAAGTGGAGTGAGGGTGGGGAGCTATTTAGGAACATTAAATTTCTTGAAATACCCCAAAATAAGCTAAAGAAGAACACATATGTACACAAAAGTCACATTTTCTAGTCGAATATTGGATTTCCTTTTATTTTTTTAAAAAGATCATTTTATTGGTGGCTTGTATAACTTTTATCACAATCTATACATCCATCTATTGTGTCAAGCACATTTGTACATTTATTGTCCTCATCATCCTCAAAACATTTGCTTTCTACTTGAGCCCTTGGTATCAGCTCATTTTTTCCTCTCCCTCCCTGGAACCCTCCCTCCCTCATGAACCCTTGATAATTTAATTATTATTTTGTCATGTCTTATACTGTCCGACATCTCCCTTCATCCACTTTTCTGTTGTCCATGCCCCAGGGAGGGGTTATATGTAGATCATTGTGATCGGTTCCCCGTTTCTACCACACCTTCCACTTCCCCTCCTGGTATCGCTACTCTCGTTACTGGTCCTGAGGGGTTTATCTGTCCTGGATTCCCTGTGTTTTCAGTTCTGATTTGTAGCAGTGCACATCCTCTGGTCTAGCTGGATTTGTAAGGTAGAACTGGGATCATGATAGTGGTGGGGAGGAAGCACTAAGGAACTTGAGGAAAGTTGTATGTTGCTACACTGCAGGCTGACTGGCTCATCTCCTCCCCGCAACCCTTCGGTAAGGGGATGTTCAGTTGCCTACAGATGGGTCTTCTCCACTCCGCACTCCCCCTCATTCACAACGATATGATTTTTTGTTCTTTGCTGCCTGATCCCTGATCCCTTTGATACCTCATGATCACAGGCCGGTGTCCTTCTTCCATGTCGGCTTTGTTGTTTCGCAGCTAGATGGCTGCTTATTTATCTTCAAGTCTTTAAGACCCCAGACACTATATCTTTTGATAGCCGGGCACTATCAGCTTTCTTCACCACATTTGCTTATGCACCCACTTTGTCTTCAGCAATCACGTGGGGAAGGTGAGGATTATGGAATGCCAGTTTTATAGAACAAAGTGTTCTTGCATTGAGGGAGTACTTGAGTAGAGGCCCAATGACCATCTGCTAACTTAATACTAATCCTATAAATATATGCACATAGATCTATTTCCCCATCATATATATTTACATATGTACATGCCTGTATTTAGACCTCTATAAATGCCCTTTGCCTCTTAGTTCTTTCCTCTATTTCCTTTTACTTCCCTCTTGTCCCACTATCATGCTCAGCCTTCATTTGTGTTTCAGTGATTCCTCTCGGTTACACTGCTCTTGATCAAGCCCAACCAGGCCTCCTACACCCTCCTTGCCATGGATTTTGGATTACTTGTTGTTGGATTACTTGTTCCCTTGTCCCTGGGTTTGTTAACACCCACTTCCTTTCCCCTGCCTCCCCCTCTCCCATGGATTGTTTATTCCGCCTACCTTATCTAGATAGACCTGCAGAGATAATGATACACACAAAAAACAAGACAGAGCAAAATAAAGCAACAAAAGAAAGCAAAACAACAACAAAAACCAATGACAAAAAAGAAAAAAGCCTGTAAATAGTTCAAGGTCTATTTGCTGACCTTTAGGAGTGGTTTCCAGTGAATCTGATGGGGTACCATGCGTTGGTCCCAAATCCTATTTTGGGGACTCTATTGGGACTTCCTTGCTCTGCTCCCTTGCTGTTGTGTTACACACCCTTAGTGTTTTGCCTCGGTGTGGTAGGGTCGGGATCGCATGCAATTTCTGCACTGTGTCTCCCTCCAGTGTTGTCCCCCGTAGGGCTATGGGTCAGTGAGGGATGTCGGGTCTCACAGTGGGGCCAGCCAAATGGTCCTCTCTGTGCATTGGCTGTTCTAAGCCAGGATATCGTCTTCAAGGCTCGGTGGGCCAGGATGTGCTCCATTCTCTTCCTCCCCCTTCATTTGCTCCTGTGCGCTGTGATCAGACATGTCCCTTTCCCTGAGCTGTAGCTTCAGTGCTGTCCTCTGAAGTGAATTCTTCTGGGGGGTTCTCTATTTTCTAAATGTGATTATTATATAGGAAAAATACACATAACCTCTAGCTTACTTTTCCTGATTCCTAGTCCATGCTCTCACTAACCCACAAATACTCCAATTTTTGACATTTCATTTACTTTAAAAAATATCTACTGCCAAAATCCTACCCATACTCATAATTAAGGATGAGTCTCTAATGTTTAATGTAAGCTATATTTATACTGACATAAATGTGCCTTGAATACATTATGCTGAATGAAATAAGCCACACACAAAAGGATAAATATTATATGAGCTCACCTATATGAAATATCTAGAATAAGAAAATGGGTAAGACATAAAGTATATGAGTAGTTAGCAGGGATGATGGGCAAAGGCTGATAGATAGGGAGCTATAATTTAATATACTCGGTTTAGTTTGGGGAGATTACACAGTTTAGGAACTTAAGAGTGGTAATGACTATCCAATGCTAATAATTAATACCACTGAATTAAACACAGAAATATTTAAATTGGCTAATTTTATGTTATAAACAAACTTCAAAATGTCTGTGAAAAATCTTTTCATTTTCCATGAACCTTTTGAAACCTCCTGATATATATTTATTTTACCATCAACAAATTACCGAGAGTTTAAAAGTTCTATACCTACTCAAGAATTTCTATTATTTAGGGCAAATTTACTCTCAATAAATAGCTTTCAGTTGACTGATATATATAAATAAGATCTAGGACTATTTTCTATTTGCTTTGGTAGTTTATGGATTCTAATAAGGCAAAAAATTTTACAATTTCCTATGTGATTTATATAAAAATTAATAAATGTATCTTTTCTAATAAGGTGATTTTTTCTTTCCTGTTTAAATTTAGGGCAATCTTTTGAACAACACAATTACATAAATAAGAGTTTTAAAAAACAAACTATGACTTCTCTACCATGCACTAGCGATGAAGTCAAAAGTCACATAGATCCTGATGGGGGAAGTCCCTCCCCCTCTGCCCAGAGTGATAAAGGGTTAATGGCAGCAAACCCAGATACTGAAGAACAGAAGCAATGGAAAATCTCTTTTAATGCTAAAAGACTCATCTCTAAGAAATGTCTATGGCATAGCACGTTTTACCCTTATTTTTATGGCCAATGATTTAAATTTTATTCAAATTTTATGAATAAACCTATAAAGGAATGCTCATAGCAGCTTTACTCAGAATAACCAAACATTAGAAACAATCCTAAATTCTCAACGAGTGAGGCGTTAACCTGTGGTTTACTCATGTCATGGACTATTACTCAACAACTAGGGATTTAATCATGCTGAGTGGAGGGAAAAAGGCAATCTCAAAAGACTGCATATTCTAGGTTCTGCTTACATAACATTTGTACGAGAATAAAATTATAGGGATAAATTATAGATTATTGGTAGCCAGAGGTGGGAGGAATGAGGTTAAATCCAGTTAAATAATTAAAACACTATTTTAATTCTCTACCCCTTCACTTCAGGTAACATTACCCAGAATAAGCCAAATATAATGTATGCACTCTAACTTTGCAACATTCTACGGTTTAAAACTACGAATTATAGACTAACATATATTTTTTGGTAAATGTGGATCTGTCTCAGGGAGGAAGGTTGCTGGGGATCTAAAAGAGTGGTAGACAGGGTCCTTGGTAGTGAACACAAGAATCTACATGTGGCAACGTTGCATGGAACTAAATATGCATACGTGTGTGCAGGCACACATGCAAACACACAAATGAACACATGTGAAACTGGAATAATCTTTTAATTTTTAGGAAAATCAACTCCATTTCTCAAGATTTCTGAGAAAATTCCTTCTTTTTCAGGTGATGATGACAAGCTCCTGAAGCCTTCAATGGACTTCGTAAAGCACAGACGCAGGCTTGAAGAATTAAGGAAAGAATTTGTGACTCTATTAGGCCAAACACAGAAGTCAGCGATTTTTTCTCTCTCTTATGTCCTTCCCAAAGATGTGTATAAATTTATTTGTTGACAAATTTTCTTGCTTTTAATTTTGGCCAACTCCTAGAACTCAGGTCTATCATCAGAAGTGAAAAGTGCAACCAATGATGACATGGATTCTTGCCATGAACCATTTTAAGAAAAGAAACGAGATAGAAAGTCCACAGACTTCAAAAGAAAATTCTTGGGAAATTCGGTAAGACTACTCTTTTATCTTTAGTATTCAACACCTGTGAGGCATTTGTTCTGTCCTGCAGATCAGCTCTGAAACAGGTTTATGTGCGTGTAACTGTGTGTGTGTTTTAATTTCAAGCATTTACTATTCATCAAGTCAATTAGGCATCTACAATTAGAGCCCCTATAAAGTGTGCTTTAATCCTGCTCCACACCCATCGGAAGGAATGAAGCTATACAACAATACAGCTCCTGTATGAACAGGTAGTCTGTTCAACAAAGTATTTGGGACTGTAACACTGGCAACCTGAGACACCTATTGAAGAAACCACACTCAAAAGAGCAAGCACTATGATCGACCCTGCACCCATTCATGTATAAATTTTGGAGAAAATAAAACAATCAAGG